GATTTAAAATGTAACAATCTATCTTCGTAGGATCAATTCAATCGAATTTTTCTTGACTAAAACAACTTCCAACCATTCCTCAAAATCCTTCATAAGTTCAAAGCTCCAATTAACTCCAATGCTCCATTAAACGTATCCAAAGCTGCTCCCAAAATAGTACTCCACTCGAATTATCTGAAAACAACATAAAAACATGAGCAGTACGAGAATTCTAACGAAAGACGTGAACTGAACATTATTTAAATTAATGACATACAAGTGACATAAAATATGATGCAAAATGCTAATAAAAACTATCTTAAAAGATACATAAAACGACATCTATCACACACATTAATAAAAAAAATGGAAATGTAAATTGAAAGGAAAAACAATCATTTTCACATATGGAAAACCAATAAATGTTAATTTTAAAGACCAAAACCACAACACTTTGCCATAAATGAGAGAGAGAGAGAGAGAGAGAGAGAGAGAGAGAGAGAGAGAGAGAGAGAGAGAGAGAGAGAGAGAGAGAGAGAGAGAGAGAGAGAGAGAGAGAGAGAGAGAGATTTAAATCATCAAAATAACCAAGTAAATGGGAAAAAATAATTAAAAAAATTAAAACAGTTTTCTTTTGAATTTTATGAAGCTCAAAATGCACAACTAAAGTAGCTTAAAATGACCATTTCCGTAACTTTGAAATGGTTTTGATTGCATCTAAAGAAAATGAAAAAACGCAGGGATCAGTTTTGCAATTTTGTCTAAATAAAACGTTTAAAGTTAACATTTAAAAATTTAAATTGTACACACCACGCTTGCAAATTGCAATAACATCAATTACACTTTAAATGTTTGGAATGCTAAACAAAAGCAAATTCTTAATCTTAACGTTTTTAACAATAAAAGCATAACGTTATAGCGACACGTTTAATATCAAACAACTTCTTTCCTTTTATAATTATTTATTTTTAACGTCGATCGCGTTACCAATTTATCATTACCTTTAACCCAAATATGATTACACATAATTATAATATTTAAAAAATTACAATTATATCTCATTTCTTTATTATAGTATCATTTCTTGCCCACAAAATATGTGACAAAATTGTAATTTCTTTCATATTTTGATTTTTTTTCACATATTTCGTTGATTCCAAAAACGTCATATGCCTATCAAACACCCTCCTAAGAGAGTAGCATTTCTTTTAAAAGCTCATCTAAACCCAAAATTACACTGCCTACACCTATGTTTATAAAGTACTTACCATGGGCGTCTTTGAGGGTGTGCGAGGTGGGCAACCGCATAAGTCCCATGTCGTGGAGGGGCTCAGTTTTACTTATGATTAAGTTCACAGTCTATCAATCGACAATCTAATAATCAAAAAGACAAAAGCCCATGTATTTTCCAATTCTAGGTGTCCTTTGATTATATGGATACTAGACGAATATTTGTGCGTTGTGCATGATAAAATTATATGGCTAAAAGAACGTTTCTTTGTCAACAATGTTTTTTAAGTCTATTAACAATATCTTCATATGCATTTAGAATAACCATGTCTTTTTTTATTCTCTTTACTTAAGAAACTTCTATATATAATTAACGATGTGTAAACAAATCTTTGGGTATATATATTGAATTAGACCACCACCTCACGAATTTATTATTATACTCTAGCTACACACGATAAACAAAAGATATATATTATAGAAAGCATACGACACTTTTAGAAGATTTTTTGTATACTTTGATGTATTTTGTACTCTCACACACACGTATATCACTTGTTTAGCTTCATTGTAACCAATTCCTATATGATATAACTTTGATGTCATTTTGTTAATATGAAAATACATCATCTTTTATATATATATATATATATATATATATATATATATATATATATATATATATAATAGAGAATGAAATATTTTAAAAGTTAATCTTTTTTAAGTTAAAAAAATGATAGACTTATAATATTTTAAATAACAGTGATTTTGTTTGAAAAAGTTTAAGTGTATTATACTTTTTTTCCATTTTAAATTTTATAATATATTGTCATTTTTAAAAAAAAGTTAAATAAGTAAAAAAGTTAGCAATTTGGTTCACCAAAAATACTTCAGGCAAGACAATTTTCAAATATTAACTAAAATTTAAATTATGTTAGGGGTTTGTTTGACGAGGGTTTTTGACTAGGTCCAAATCCGACAAAAATTTACCAGCATGTTTGATTTGCGATGAGAGTTCTGACTCGGTCCTAATTTCTGACCAAGTCCAACCTTTTTATCCTTATCTGGTCCGACAAAATAACATTTAAACTGAGTTTTACTCTTCGTTTTTGGATTCTGTCCTCGGTCCAAGTGTTTGATATCCATTTTTTCTTCTGACTCGGTCAAAGCCTCTAACCCAGTTAGCTTTTAACACAGTTCGTTCTAACCAAGTCAATATCTATTAACCTCTATCAAACGACCCTTTAGTCGTTTGATGGATAAAGATGGCCAATCTTATATAACATATCTTATTTTGGAATTGATACCATCAACTACCCGTTAATTGTATAGTTAAACTTTTTAGATTTTTAACGACAATGACTTTATTCACCATATAGCTTTAGAAAGAAATTGAAAAGTCATGAGAATTACAAATGCATGTGGTGCAAGTAAAAATGCCTTATATATATATATATATATATATATATATATATATATATATATATATATATATATATATATATATATAGAGAGAGAGAGAGAGAGAGAGAGAGAGAGAGAGAGAGCTAGGTTCAGGTATTTAAACTAATTATTGTACATCTATCATATGCTATGAGAATGATAAAGAAAATATGTTCTTTGATAATATAAATACGTTCAATTTTATATAACTATTGTCATTAACACACATTCTCACTAATTAAATCGTCTATAAGGTTATTATACACTTATTATTATTATTCTTATTTCTGTCAGAATGTTTTATTGGGTCATATTCTGTCCGAATGAAATTGAGTGAAAAACGATATATGAGAACAAAAAATAATAATTAACGAGAATGCATAAAATTGATGATATTCTTGTAAGGTTGAACGTATTCGCATTGCTAAACAACTTATTCTCTTAGTAATTCTCATAGCATACGATAGATGTACAATAATTAGTTTGAATAGAATAACCTAAGCCTATATATATATATATATATATATATATATATATATATATATATATATATATATATATATATATATTCCGGAGGGGCACGCATGCAAGAAGGTAGAAAATCCGCCCCTTTGTTGGCATAGAATAACTTTTTATTTGATTGATAATCATATAAAGCAGAAGATATTTTAGCCATTTGCATCAAGCTCAAACTTCCTTCTTGCATGCGTGCCCCTCGGGAAGCACACACTATAATAAGAGGTAAAAATTCTTTAGTAGCGTATTCAATCAAACGTGTAATTTTCTCCCCCGACTACAGATCCCATACTACCTCCTATAAACTGAAAATCCATAACCCCAATTGCTAGGGTAATACCGTTTAGTTGCCCTCTGCCTGTTTGAACAACCTCGGTTAATCCTGTATTTCTTTGATAAGAATCGATACGATTTTATAAGGCTCCTCCTCCGAATGAAATTTAATGGGATCCAGAGAGACCATGTCTTCATCCATAGGCTCCCAAGTGCCCGGATCGATCAAAAGTTTGATTCTATCTGAACTACTCATTTTCAAATGATATCCACATTGTTCACAAAGATGCATTTTTGATTTAAAAAATTTCTTATAATTTAATCCGTAACAATTTTCGCATTGAACCCACAAATGTCGGTATTGTTGAGTTAGACCCATATGAGTAGAACTTTCTGGTATAGTTTGATAACTCGTTGTGATATCCTCGTTTTCACTACTATTTTCACAATTACTACAAATGGAACTAGAAATGTAATTGTTACTGGAATTATTGTTACTGGAATTGTCATTACCACTTACAATGTAATTCTCAATACAGATTTGGGACTGAAGATAACTGTCAATGCAACTATTAATGTGATTATTCCAAGTATACTGAGTATCATCCATGTAACGATCGTGGTCGGGATTCTTACTCTTAGATCCATTATTCAGATCACTAGAATTCCGATAAAATGAACTTTCTAGTTCACTACAAAAAGGATGATCATTGGCAATCTCAAAAATATGATTTTCAATATCAAAATATATAGAATAACTGTCCCCATTACTATATTTCACTAAAAAAGTATCATCAGAGAAAAAATTCCGAATGTCCTTGACGCCAAAAAAAAGATCAACATTACTGTAATTGTCATGACCACCCCAACCCTGAATGTTTTTATCCGTATCATTTCTATTCGGATCTTTACTTTCACTGGCATTTTCAATAGGACCAAGACTGCCCATTGATTTACTTAGCCTATATCTGTGTTCGAACTCCTTAAATAACATCGAATTGAACCACCATCTTTTCATAGAGTTTTCTTGCTCCATATTTGCATGAAAATACAATAGATGAATAGTCATTCGACGAAAAATCATTTAATTTATTTAAATATCTTATTTCCTAACAGAATAAGCATATCAATACAATCACTAGGATTATTAACTAATATAATAAGGAGTGTAAGTATTGAAAAAAAGATTTGTTCTCTCCTACGAACAATTTTTTCGTAAAATCTCGTCTAATAACTAATAATCAGTTAAGTTTCTATTACAATACGAAACAAAAAGGACAATATACAGGATGGGTGGAAAGAGTTGTGATACCTGTCTCAGGGAAAATACAGGATCTAAAATAATATCCCAATCCTAAGGATCCATAGGATTAATTGTGGATCCAACCAACACAAAAATAGAAAGATTTGAGTTGTTTAGTCTTCGAGTTTTTAGTTGAAATTTTCTATATCTATATAAGTATGTATCTATCTAAAATATATGCATGTTGGATTCGGCTCAATCCTTTTAGTAAAAGATTGGGCCGAGTTTAATTGAAATTCAATTAAGAGAACGAAAGTTATTGATCCAAAGTATCCATTGCCTGAAACTCAAATTTAATCTCCTTCCATACTTCACAAGCAACAGCTACTTCAGGACTCCATTTGGTAGCCTCACGGATAATTTCATTACCCTCAGTAGCAAGATCGCGTCCCTCATTACGAGCTTGTACACATGCTTCTAGAGCTACTCGATTATCTACGACACCGGGTGCATTTCCCCAAGGGTGCCCTAAAGTTCCTCCACCGAACAGGGGGGATTCACTGTAAATACTAGCTTGGCTCATTATTGCCGAGATAATGGTCTACTTCTTCACATCCACCGCGCAATGCATGCAGTTATTAATAGACAGAAGAATCATGGTATATACTTATGTGTACTAGCTAAAGCGTTACGTATGTATGATGGATATCATATCCATTCCGGTACCGTAGTAGGTAAACTTGAAGGGGAAAGAGAAATCACTTTGGGCTTTATTGATTTACTGCGTGATGATTTTATTGAAAAAGATAGAAGTCGCGGTATTTATTTCACCCAAGATTGGGTCTCTCTACCAGGTGTTCTGCCTGTAGCTTCGGGCGGTATTCACGTTTGGCATATTCCTGCTCTGACCGAGATCTTTGGAGATGATTCCGTACTACAGTTTGGTGGAGGAACTTTAGGGTACCCTTGGGGAAATGCACCCGGTGCCGTAGCTAATCGAGTAGCTCTAGAAGCATGTGTACAAGCTCGTAATGAGGGACACGATCTTGCTACTGAGGGTAATGAAATTATCCGTGAGGCTACCAAATGGAGTCCTGAAGTAGCTGCTGCTTGTGAAGTATGGAAGGAGATTAAATTTGAGTTTCAGGCAATGGATACTTTGGATCAATAACTTTCGTTCTCTTAATTGAATTTCAATTAAACTCGGCCCAATATTTTACTAAAAGGATTGAGCCGAATCCAACATGCATATATTTTAGATAGATACATACTTATATAGATATAGAAAATTTCAACTAAAAACTCGAAGACTAAACAACTCAAATCTTTCTATTTTTGTGTTGGTTGGATCCACAATTAATCCTATGGATCCTTAGGATTGGAATATTATTTTAGATCCTGTATTTTCCCTGAGACAGGTATCACAACTCTTTCCACCCATCCTGTATATTGTCCTTTTTGTTTCGTATTGTAATAGAAACTTAACTGATTATTAGTTATTAGACGAGATTTTACGAAAAAATTGTTCGTAGGAGAGAACAAATCTTTTTTTCAATACTTACACTCCTTATTATATTAGTTAATAATCCTAGTGATTGTATTGATATGCTTATTCTGATAGGAAATAAGATATTTAAATAAATTAAATGATTTTTCGTCGAATGACTATTCATCTATTGTATTTTCATGCAAATATGGAGCAAGAAAACTCTATGAAAAGATGGTGGTTCAATTCGATGTTATTTAAGGAGTTCGAACACAGATATAGGCTAAGTAAATCAATGGGCAGTCTTGGTCCTATTGAAAATGCCAGTGAAAGTAAAGATCCGAATAGAAATGATACGGATAAAAACATTCAGGGTTGGGGTGGTCATGACAATTACAGTAATGTTGATCTTTTTTTTGGCGTCAAGGACATTCGGAATTTTTTCTCTGATGATACTTTTTTAGTGAAATATAGTAATGGGGACAGTTATTCTATATATTTTGATATTGAAAATCATATTTTTGAGATTGCCAATGATCATCCTTTTTGTAGTGAACTAGAAAGTTCATTTTATCGGAATTCTAGTGATCTGAATAATGGATCTAAGAGTAAGAATCCCGACCACGATCGTTACATGGATGATACTCAGTATACTTGGAATAATCACATTAATAGTTGCATTGACAGTTATCTTCAGTCCCAAATCTGTATTGAGAATTACATTGTAAGTGGTAATGACAATTCCAGTAACAATAATTCCAGTAACAATAATTCCAGTAACAATTACATTTCTAGTTCCATTTGTAGTAATTGTGAAAATAGTAGTGAAAACGAGGATATCACAACGAGTTATCAAACTATACCAGAAAGATCTACTCATATGGGTGTAACTCAACAATACCGGCATTTGTGGGTTCAATGCGAAAATTGTTACGGATTAAATTATAAGAAATTTTTTAAATCAAAGATGCATCTTTGTGAACAATGTGGATATCATTTGAAAATGAGTAGTTCAGATAGAATCGAACTTTTGATCGATCCGGGCACTTGGGAGCCTATGGATGAAGACATGGTCTCTCTGGATCCCATTGAATTTCATTCGGAGGAGGAGCCTTATAAAAATCGTATCGATTCTTATCAAAGAAATACAGGATTAACCGAGGCTGTTCAAATAGGCAGAGGGCAACTAAACGGTATTACCGTAGCAATTGGGGTTATGGATTTTCAGTTTATGGGAGGTAGTATGGGATCCGTAGTCGGGGAGAAAATTACCCGTTTGATTGAATACGCTACTAAAGAATTTCTACCTCTTATTATAATGTGTGCTTCCAGAGGGGCACGCATGCAAGAAGGAAGTTTGAGCTTGATGCAAATTGCTAAAATATCTTCTGTTTTATATATATATATATATATATATATATATATATATATATATATATATATATATATATATATATATATATATATATATATATATATATATATCGATTTAGAGACTTATTGCTCAATAGTGGAATTTTGAACTATTATATTCGATCATATTACTTGATTGGATTATATGGAATACAACTTGAAATTGAATGGGATGCAACACAAATGTTTGACGTTGTGGTTATTACTACCTTCTTGGTAGTTTTGAAGTATCGGGACAATCTTCTCTTTGAATTGCTAAACCCAGACAAACGGGTATTTTTGATGAAATAGTTTTTTAATCTGGATAGTTTTTTTCTTAGTTGCTATGTCCTTGTAACATTGTTTTTTCATTAACTTCTTACTAGTCCTTAATATAATATTGTCTATATATGCGTTGTAAACAGACCAAAACTTAAGTTTCATCATTTTTACTATTAATAAGAGTGTCTATAGTCTAATTTATCAGGAAAAAAAAAATCATGTGTTGTCTCCATTTTTTTTGTGGTCGTTTATTGAACTTTCAAGTTTATTTTTTATTTTATTATTTGTTCTTATTCTTATTCTATTTTTTTTTTGCAACTGAAAAAAATAAGAAGCCACTTTTCAATATTGATTAAGGGCGTGTTTGACACGAAGCTTTTGGGAGCGTTTGAGAGCTTCTAGCTTCTAGCGTTTGACAAAACGCTCTGTTTTGAACAGAAAGCCTTGTTTGGTACTACAAGTTTCTAGCGTTTAGTTTAAACAAAACGTTTTAAATCCAAATGCTACTTCATGTAGCGTTTAACAAAACGCTACAAGCTACAAGCTACCTGCCACCCGCTACAGGCTACCCGCTACCAGCTAATTTTGCCGAACACGCCCTAAGTATTGGGATGCATTCAACGCCACTCAAGGTTGCATATCTTACTTCGTACGTGATAGGCCCGTGTGAACATGGCCCGAAGATATTGATCTTCAAAATAGTTCTACCACATACATATGTATACCAATATACTTAAAAATACTAAAAAATATGTTTGGTTGTTTGTGGTGGTTAAGTAATCTTTGTGTTTATTAGTTTTTTAAATAGTTTTGAAGCAACCTAGGTGATAGACCCTTTCAAATACGAAATTCAAGCTATTGATCTTACAAAATAGGAACATATTTTCATACCATATAACATATTTTCACACCATAAAACATATTTTCGTACCACATAACATATTTTCAGACCACCAAACGTTTTTCTATACACTAGACAGGTTGTGAATAAAGCATCATAACTTCCTTTACATAAATCCGAAAAACTTGCGTATTTTTCATTGAAAACTATACATCCAAATCTTTCCAAGAATATAAGATACATAATTTTTCAAGTTTTGGATCATTCCATACTTCTCGTTGAAGTTGGTCCAAAAAACATTCTTTCAGACCACCAAACATTTTCTTTACACTGGCAACCTGTGGTAAAAGGTTATAACTTCTTCTACAAAATTCCAAAAGACTTGCCATTTTTATTTATTGAAAATTGCACATCTAGAGCTTTCCAAACATATAAGATACATGATGTTCTAGACATCTCATTGAAATTGGTTCAAACTTTTCTTTTCAGACCATTGAATGTTTTTTCAGACCTCTAAATATTTTCTATACACTGGACAACTTGTGGTAAAAACATCATAAATTCTTCTACAGAACTCCAAAACATTACCCTTCTCATTGAAAACTACACATCCAGAGCTTCTCATTGAAAGCCTCATGTTTGCAGCGGGGGATTAGTCGGTGCGCGAAAGCTGACCCGGAAACCCTCGTTAGGGAAGTTCCCTTTCCAAACAAAATGATTGTTGGATCATTCCATACTTCTCGTTGAAGTTGGTCAAAAAATACTTTTTTAGACCACCGAACATTTTTCTATACACTGGACAACCTGTGACAAAAACGTCTTAACATCCTTTACAAAATTCCAAAAAACTTGCTATTTTTCATTGAAAACTACACATCGAGAGCTTTCCAATCATATAAGATACATAGTTTTTTTATTACTAGATAATTCAAGACTTCACTTTAAAGTTGATCTGAAAATATATTTTCAGACCACAAAACATTTTTTGTACCATGGACAACCTATAGCAAAAACGTCATAACTTCATCTAAAAAAATTCAAAAGACTTACCGTTTTTTCAATGGAAAACTCATATCCATCGATTTTCTTTGAGCATATAAGATACAATATTTTTTGACTTATAGATCGTTCCAGACTTTCGGTTGAAGTTGGTCGAAATTTATTTTTCAGACCTCCAATTATTTTTGTACAATGGAAAGCTTATGACAAAAATGTCATAACTACTTCTACAAAACTCCAAAAAAGTTTGTCATTTTTTAATAGAAACTACACATCCAATGATTTCTAAGCATATAAGATACATTTTTTTTTAGTTCTGGATCATTCTAGACTTCTTGTTAAATTTGGTCTAAAATATTTTTTCAGACCACGAAACATTTTTATTTACATTAGATAGTCATGTGGTAAAAACATCATAACTTCCTCTTCAAATGTCCAAAAGAGTTGTTTTTTTTCATTAGTGAAGGATCGTAACTTAACAGAAAATACCAAGAAATAAGAACAAGAACCGAAAAGAAGAAGGAACAAATTAATCAAAAACGAATTTTGATTAAGAAATCTCTCACGAAGAGAGAATGCACTAGAGCGGTAATTACATCGATACCTAGTGTAACTTATATAGTATGTAAGAGACTATTCTAGAGTCAAATCCCTACATATCAAGGATTTGAATAATATGATAACTACCATATACAAAGAAATATATATATATATATATATATATATATATATATATATATATATACACACACACACTATACAAAAGATCATATCACTAAGACAACGGATCAGTAACTTGTAACAAAAGTAAAGTCACGCTATAGTGAGAAGCTAGTCAGCGGATGATGGCATTGATGAAAGAGTAATAATAACATAGGTTTGACTCATCAGATTATAAAGTTTGACCTTACAATCTCCCACAATCTGATGATGTCAAAACCTATTCCAGTAGAAGGTCTTCAACACATACCTTATCAACATCGGAAATAATCAGCTTGAGGTTTGTCTTTACACTCCAACCTTAGATGAAATATATTCTTAGTAGGAGCCTTTGAAAGATCAATATAACGTTGAAAGCACATACAATCATGATGATAAACATAGATAGGGGTGTAAGTGAGCCGAGCTAATCGTGAGCTACTCGGGATCGACTCGTAAAAAGCTCGACTCGAGATCGAATTAAATGAGCCTGAGCTGAGCTCGAGCCTAAATACGAGGCTCGTTTATTAAACAAGCTCGAGCCGAGCTTCAATTCATGGGCTCACGAGCTTAAACGAGCTTATATATATACATACATACATACATATATACATACATACATACACACACACACACACACACACACATATATATATATATATATATATATATATATATATATATATATATATATATATATACATACATACATAGAGGCTCGTTTAGGCTCGCGAGCCCACTAAATTGTTCACGAGCCGAACTCGAGCTTCATTTTAAGTCTCGAATCGAGCTCGAGCTTCCTCAAAATTAAACGAGCCGAGCTCGGCTCGGCTGGTTTACACCCCTAAACATAGAATAATCCATGTTCTGGTTCTCTAATGAAAAGATGTTGAACACACACAACATCAGATGGAAGAGTGTTATTTATGTAGACAGTCCCATAAGGAAGTAAGAACCATGAGTGTTGGGACCTTTTTCCAAATCTAGCAGAGAATGGACACTACAAGAAAAAGACCCTTTTACGACGCGAAAACCACGACACTCCTTGATTTATGTTACGCAAAAGCGTGTGACATTAAAAAAATGTCATCTCTTCAAAAAATTTAAGGATTTAGGTCACGCATTATTGCGTGCCCTTAAATTATTGTCTAAATAAAATAAAAAAAACACGGAGGGCACCTATAATAAAATGTGTGTCGTCTAAGGATTCCGCTTTATAAATTTTTATGGAACGCGCATTTTCCAACCTTTAATAGCTAAGCGGAAACGAAATCCCCAAAAATTAGAAAACCCCGCCTTGTTCTCATCTTCCTTCGTTTCTACTTTTCTCTTTTCCATGGTTTGGCTTAATGAAGCTCTGTGAATTCCATGAGTTATCGATATGAAGTATGGAATGCAAGGCTTGATTCTCGTTTGTTTCTGATTTTCCATAGATAAATCAAAACAACACACAGATGAAGAACCCTAACGTACGTCTTCCTTCTTAGTAGGTAGCTGGAGGTCTTTTATTTTCATCTAAAATCCCGATTCTCTCATTTTTCTATCGACTTATTACGTGCTAGGGTTTTTGGTGGTGATCGACGGGTACGAGACATAATAGAACAACTGAAGAGGCTATTACAAAGGGTTGAAATTGTATGGAATCATTTGGAGATGATGGAGTTTAGCTTTCACCTTCGTCAAATCTTAAGGCGAAATAAGACTGTTGAGATTGAGGGTTTTTTGCTCCGAAAAATAGACCTTACAAAATCATTACGATTGAGGGCTCTATGATGAAGAACTAGGGATTCTAAGCCCAGCAAGGTTTCCTCCGCTCCTTGAATTCACGTTTACAAAACCTAAAAGGCAATTTAGGTTTCTATCTCCTATTTTAGAGTTATCTTATTAATTCGTCTTGTTCCTTCACCCAGCTTGGCTATGGATTCCCGGTATGGCATCATAACCCTGCGACTTGGTTACTCTCGAGCCTACAAGGGTCGTTGAAACCCTCAAGAATCTCACAACAAGGTTGCGTGACTATAGAGTGGTTGATGTCGTGAACTTGTTACCCACTGCCAATGATGGAACCATCAGGCATTTATATATGCAGGTGAGTAATCAAATCTTAGTATAGTCATCAGTAAACACTTTTTTTTCTAAATTATGTTGTTTGTAAATCTTTTGAATCTTCTAAACACAATTGATGTTTTATTTCTCTACTCTCCTACAAATCGGGCTACTACTTGTTATTTTTGGTTGCTTTGTTACTACATAAGACAGCAACCTGGTAATCTTTGAATAATTATATACTGCCTATTTAGGGATACTTTTTGGTGAACACCAATTGTTTGATAAAATGCCCCAATGAGTGACTCTTGTGTTTTCATGCTATATTATATATTTTGAGCAAGGAACCACACATGTTTTTATTAAATCTGAAGTGTAATGTACAATAACAATAACATTGAGGTAGATTACATGTATTGTTCTTTTATGTGTTATTGTGTTTTGAAGTAATTCTTGCACATGGAAGCTATGTCAAAATTAGTTATAAGAATCTGCTTTGAATACTCAAAATCCTCAGTCTAGTAAAGTTTATAAAAATTCAAGATGGTATTTGACGTATTTGGCCAGGAATCATACATTTGTTGCAAAACTTTTGCTTCAGTTCAGATTCCCCTGGAGTCCCATACTATTATTTCTGATAAGTCTCATGGAAAAGCCATCATGGTTGTTGAAGATAATGAAACAGAAAAGCAGCAAGGAGATTTCTTGGCCATAACGATGTTGTTGAGCCTCTTGAATCAACCCCTTTATTTGAGAAGTATTGCACATCTTGAGCAGGTAGAATTTGCACATTCGTTTCTTTTGGTAAAATCTTAAATGTATTTTTTTCCTTCTTCCCTAATTGTTGTTTGATCTACTGTGTTTCAGCTGCTGAACTTGCTAGATGTGATCATTGACAATGCGTAAAGCAAGCAAGCTCCTGCTCCTAAAGAATCACCTGCTCAGATGTCCACATTAAATGCTGATGATGCCGGTGGCTCAGGCTCAAATACCAAATCACCCAAAGATGATTATGCCTATAAGCCCTCATCTTCCGGTGCTAATATAGAATATGACTCCCACACTGTGCTGCTAACTTACCACAAGCAGAACTATGTCTTCTATGCTCATTGCTTACATTAGGAATTGAAGCCGGAAAGAAAGCAGCAGGAGAAGTGTCGGCTGATAGTGGTAGATGACGAGGCACAAGGGGATGATGGAGTACGTTCTTCTCGAATAGGGATGCAAACAAGGAAGGATATTGATGGACACTGCAATGTCTGTCCCCGTACCCGACCTCTGATCCCCAAATCTGTCCCCACCCCGCCCTGCCAAATATCAAACAGATTCGGGTAAAAAATCTCCATAGGATTCGGGTAACCCGATGGATACCCTTTGATAAGTGGTATCTTACCCTAGCCTATGTTAACATTTTAAGGGAAGTCAGAACTCAGAAGCTATCTATATGCACATTTTTTTATCTTTTTCAAAGTAAATAAGATTGCTAATTATGTATTTCTTTTTGACAAATTGGATAAATCTCATATTAGGGGGGACACCTGTAATGAAACTGATGATTGCTGCTGGAAAGGTTGTTCCTATTTTACAACTGGAACATGGAGTAGCTGTTGTTAGAGTGTATACAGGGTCATTCATGACTTCTCTTGATATCTTTGTGTTGTGTTAGAGCAAGCAATTCTGCAACACCTGGATGTTGCAACTAAGGCTCCGCATTGGCCTATTGGTGTTGATGGTTGGTAATTCCATTTGATTTGAATATGATATAGTTATTAGTTAGTTTAAAATTACGATATAAATATGTGGTTGGTGGATATAAAAGACACAAATTGATTTCCAAAGTGACAGATGGTGGATGGAAGTTTTATCTAGAGGCGCAACAACTATTCATCAAGACTTGAAGAAGTAGTACCTAATTCCACCTCTTAATAGCAATGTAGTATTAGGTTATATAGCTAGGGAAAACCTCTTAATAATAATGTACAATCAAATCCCTTTAATATCAATGTATTACAATTTTTTGACATGAAGTTATTGGATGAAATTGATTGTTTTGGTATATATTTGTTTCCATATTTTTGTATTATGCGTAAATGAGTATCGTAAAGGCACGTCATATATGCATGTCGTAAATTGTTGCTGATGTTTATGACACACAAATGCGTGTCATTTTTATTTATGACAGGGGATTTAATGATACACAATGCGTGTCCTAAACGTGCGTCGTAAGATTACGACACACAAATGCATGTCGTCTTCCTTTATGACATGGCCTTCCTTGATACCCATTGCGTGTCGTAAATGAGCGTCGTAAATGCATGTCCTAAATGCGTGTCGTAAATGTGCGTCGTAAATAGACGACGCGTAAAAGCGTGTCGTCTTTCGTTATGACAAGGCCTTCCTTGACATGCATTTGCGTGTCGTCTGAGCGTTTTACGACACACATTGCGCGTCGTAAAAGACTGTTTTTCTAGTAGTGGGAGCAACAGACATAGATGATGCATCAGGAAGAGAAACCAAATTTTGATTCCTAACTTTGTTAATCATTACGATGATGGAAAGGTCTAATTATTATGCATGACTACCCTTATGATTTTTGACAATCCCTTAAATTTCTAACCATTCTGAGTACCTATATTTAACAAGCTTAAATACCAGAATTCTTTCAAGGTATTCACCACGATCATCCTTCCTAGTTACGTGTAATGTAAGAATATTATACCCTTTTGGCTTAGTACACATAACCTTCATAATAGAATCAAGAGATACTCTTCTTGAGAAGACATTATCATGGGTGGAACAATCAATTTTGGTGAGAATTTCTTCGACCCTCTTCTTCTTGTCAACGTTAGCATTAAAATGTTCCATATCAGCCTTGTGCTCAGCTAAGGTGCTTTCAGCGGAAGCAACTTTTAGAGCAGTTTTGGAGGGACCATGCCTAAGAATTATATTGTTGCGAGTAGCCGCATTGTGTTCAATATAAAAGGCTCTAGCCTCTTCTTTATTTAAATCCCATTCATAAAAGACTTTAGAAAGCTTTATACACTTGAGACCTTTCTTTCGCTTCATAGAAATAGTGTCTAAAGCAGAGATTGAGGACTTTTGTTTTCTAGAAAGAGGTTGATCATCATTTGATTATATGTCACTATTGACATGTTGCTCCCTGTGATTGTAATTCCCCCTTAGCATGATAATCTGATGAAAATATTGTTGAAATTACAATAGCATGGGATTAAACAGAGTTGCCAAGAAAATTAAGTTCCACGAATCCTTCGTCATCATGATCAGGGGAAATAGGGCTTCACCATCATTATCATAAATTTCATCAACATCTTCCATATCATCTATTAGTTTTAAAATCTCCCCCCTTTTGACATCATTAGCAATTTCATGGGGAGAAGGAGACTAGGGCTTATTTAGAGGTGGTGAATAATTATTTCGTGGAGGAGGAAGATTTCTTGGTAGATCGGACAATTGCTATTGATCATTTGATGGTGGTGGTGGATGAGGAGGAGGCGGTGCACCTGATGATGGAATTGTAGTGGAAGTAGATGGAAGAAAAACCTTTTTAATAGCCATAATATCCTGTTTAATTTCAGAAATATCGGCTTCAACTTTACCCACTCGCTGAGCAAAGACGTCACATAACCCATTCAACGTAGTTATGGCTGCAAGAATTTGAGTTTGAACATTTGGTTGTTCTGGTTGTTTGGGTTGAAAATCCCCCTCATCTTGAAAATATGGTTGAGAGTTGTGAACAGACTGAGATGCACCACCAATTGGACCAAGATAATTTTCATTAGTGCCAAAGCCAAAGGCATGCGTAGAGCTAACGGGCTTGACATGCATATCCTGTTGTGAAGATGAGGATGATGACTGAAAGTGAATGTGTGTGCTGCTGTGTAGCGGAGAATAAGCAGTGGCAACGACAGTAAAAGGTGATGGGTTTTCTAGATTACTTCTATGTACATAAGGAATTTCACATAATATATTATGGGCACATGCAACCTATAAATTCTTTGGCTTTTCTCATAATAGCAACATACTTTGAAAAACTAAATAACCCTAGCAAAATCGAAAAAACACAAAGGTTTGATTACATACCTTATTGCTATAATCGAAAATAGCAATGTAATTTGAAGAACCTCTCTTGGCATGCTATCCCCAACAATGTGGAAGCCTCTAATGAATCACACTCGAACCCTAGGAAAATCCTAGAATCAAAATAAGAGAAAGGGAGAAGGATATTTCGAAAATGCCTTGTGTTTGTGCAGGGTTCTTGAGTCTTATGCAAGTCCCTATTTATAGTTGTATGAAACCCTAATTTGAAATCACGATAATAATATTATATTGCAATTGAAATTCACTTTCCTTATCAACCAATGAGGCTTCTAGAACCCCTAGAGGGAGGCTCCAAAATCGTCCCCTCCTAGGGAGGTTCTAGAATGTTTTCTTGTTTAACTTTTGAATAATTGCATTTTAACCCATAAACCCCTTAATTACTTCTAATTAATCTAGAAAAATTAATTAAATTAACTCTGATTAATCCTCTAATTAATTATTTCCATTTCATATTAATATATTAATTTCATAATATACTAATAAATCATATCTCTCTCTCTCAATATCAGTCTAGGCCATTTCCCGGCTATGAGGGAAACCTAAAAAATAGTTTACTATTATTCACTCAATATACCAATTTAGTTAAGACCTTAGACACCCTAATCCAACAACCTCATAATTGGATAATTCGTCAACTACAATTGCAAGTATAACTCTCAGAATAACCAGTAAATAGTGCATTCCAAGCAATTACCAAACTCTGATAAAATCAAACGTTGACCCTAAGATAATTAATCAACTATTCCTTCATTCTCATGATATCGTATGGACACAAGACATGAATTAGAATCAATATCATGCTCCAATATTATGTTTCTCGATTTCCTGATTTGTGATGACGTCATCAGACTACTAATTGAACACATCAATGCAGTCCCGACTAGGCCCAACACTTATATGATGGGTTTTGATACAAAATATAAGTGTTTTTTTTATAAAAACCGGTCAACGGAAGCGATAAGAATAACAAGTTTACTTTTAAGTTTATAACAAAACCAAACCTTCTAGGATCCATTTATAGAGGTTAGAATGATATTAAAAACAACCATAAAGTGTTTTAGAATGACAACCTTTGAAGTCTTTGAACCCACTTGTTTTTGGGGCGTTGATGAAGATGGAAAAATCAAAGAGTATGGTATCCCTAAAAGTATCCACCATCTAGATTAAGTCACTTGGAATGCTAGTTTCTTCTTGTATAAAGTACTTCTTAAGCCGTTAAGTGCTTAACTCAAATAAGCACTAAAGGATATGCACTTTAACCCATTAAAGACTTGAATAATCTTCAAAAGAAAATCCAAGAGGAAGAGCCATACATCTTACGAGTTTGAGGTGGAGAAATCGGGAGAAGAAGAGAGTAAAAACTAGCCAGAAACTCATACGAGACACTCCTTTAAATAACCCATGCAAAGTAAAGTCTAACCATTAATATACTTTAAAGTAATGGCTAGGGGAATATACATGGGAGACAAGGTATGGATATTGACAGAAACCTCCACACCTCTAAAGAGGTTTTGACCATACCTTACAAAAGAGAACGATTCTTTAAATTTTATAAACTCAAAGTTTATAAAATATAAACTTTGTCTTTAGGTATAAGACACAAATATCCAACTAGTCAAATAGGTTGTGCATGACTTATTAATTCATAACATATGAACAAATAACTAGTTATACTCTCTTATAATTATTATTTTCACAAAACAATAATTATTCCCTAATTAAATAAAAGAATTGATATTGTTTATTAATAATAAATATACAAAATGTTCCAACTTAATAAATGTGTGACCCTATAGGATCATATATTATTAGAAATGTCATTCAATAATGATTCTTAGGCATATATACTCAACAATCTCCCACTTACACAAGATTCATTACAGACTGACATAGACAGTAGTTGACGTCTAGCAACATGATACTGCCCCTAACAATATATGAAGGGTGCCATCTTATCAACAACCAATTCCAGGAGTGTTGTGACATCCCCATTTTCACGGCCAGAAAAGACCGATTTTGTTTATGCTTTATAAAAATCAGAGTACCTCTTTTAGTAAAAATATTACGGAATTTGTTCCCAAAAAACATGATAAATACGTTATCAAATCATTTCCAAAGAAATGTATTTTTATTCATTTTCAAAACCTTGGGATGTCATCGTCAATACAAAAAGATAAGCATAAACAGAACTGGTGAGATAAAAACTCTTTAAGATCGATAAGATTCTTAACAAATAAAACAGAAGGTAAACCAAATAACGAACACAATGAATCAAACGAAAGTCGAATGATTAAAACTGCAACACCCCAGAAGAGCTCGATGAAGAACTTCTACTTTAGAGGTGTGCTAGGGTTACAGTTCAATCGAAGGAAATATTCAAGATCATTATTAATATAATGCATGCATGCACTATATATACTAAACCCTAAAAAAAAAAAGACGGTTGGACATGCCCAAACCGTGACTACATATGGACCGAACTAACTAAGCCCAATGGCGCAACCCATATACTCAACAATCCCCCCCTTTGCGCCAATTGAGGCGAGAGATCACTTCGGTTGAGCAACTGTGGTTTTCTTCACAGTCTTGAACAGCTTGGGGATGATGGCAAGAAGAGTTTGTCGAAATTTAATGTACCACCGAAGCATATCTGAAAACATCTTCTTGTCAACTTCACTGTTCTAATCGCACCTGTATATGATATCAAGAATATGCTCCAAGCAGGCAGTGGAGAACAGGTGTTTGTCAACAAGAGCGAACATGCATTTTTGACCTTCGCCCCTTGTGAACATGACTGTATGAAACTGTGGATCGATTTTGCCTTTTATCATCACATTGAGGTCGCTTGCCTTTCCAATCGGCTTCATAGTGGTCTTCTTCTTTAAGGCAGAGGCGATCTCTTGATCCATCTTTGCGACTTCATGAATATAACACACCATTATTCCCTTGATATGGTTGATGATAGGCTCATACTCTTGTTGATTAGTCAGCAAGATATTGTTCAGGAGAATCCAGTCATGAGGATTCAAATTTGGCAAGTCAGCCAGGGAGATCATATGCACCGAACTGTCTAAGCCTCAGGTCACTTTAAACTTGATATTGATGAACTTCCCTGCTGAAGTGGGTTTCAACACCTTGACTGTTGTGATCTTCTGTTTACTCCAAGTCAGGTATTGAGATTGAGAGAACGCAAGATAGTATTCAATCAGGTCTCGATCAACCTTCGGGTCAGGAGAGGGGATGGTAACTGTTGACTCAAAGCAATGAAAGATGAATTCCTTTCGGGTGATTGGCATATCAAATTGAGAATCTTTGGAATTCTCAAGATCGAAGGAAAGGACCGGTTCGAGCCAATGTGTGCTTGGAGCTTCTATTACCTCCTTCAGAAGCTTTTCCATAGTCCACAAAGGGAACATAGATTTCCTCTATTCTAATTCATCGTTCGCTTCTTTTTGTTTCCTTTCCCTATCAAACCCTTCCTTAGCTTTACGAACCTTATCCGCAATCTCTTGATCATTTGGCTTGATTTTGAGGTTTATGGTTTTCGAAGGTTGTTGATCTGTTTCAGACACTTCTTCTTCAATTTCAACATCATCGTCATCACCAATTTGCTTCTTTCATTTGCCCTTCATACTGAACGAAGCTTCATTACCCTTCGGTTCAGTATGGACTTTTGATTAGAAGACAGGTTTGCCTTTTGGAGGTTGTTGTGGTTGTTCCTTCATAATCTCTTCTACCCCTTGTTTCGGAGGCACAACGGGCTCAGGAACACCTTCAATCTGGCTAAGAATTTCCAGAGCAGGTCTCAGTTTTTCAGCCAAGTGAACGTAGATAGTAAGGACCGAGTCATGGGCTTCCAGGAGATGTAAAAGAATAGAATGCACATCACCGACAGAGTTTTTGACCATTGCTCGCTCAGACTTGAGGTCTTCAATTTCCTTGTTTGCCATCTTGAGCTTTAAGTTCTGAATTTTAAGCTGAGAAGTTCGACGATCCAACTCATCCATAATCTTGTTTTCCACAGCAAGTTCGGCTTCAAGTTGAGTAAGACGGGCATCAACTGAGGTGTGAAGGTCGGTGTTGGCAGTTTGGATAGCTAGGCGAGCCTCTTCAAAGTGCTTCTTTTCATCTTGAAGCGAACGTGTAAGATTATCAACCGAAGCATTCACCGTTTGAGCATTCTTTTGAGATGCAACCTGAAGAGAATCAAGAAAAAATTGAGCATCAGAAACTAGTTTTCCGACTTTTGCGGTCGCTTGCTTGCAATCTTTGGTGGAGGCGTCAACAGCAATAGAAGCTTTCAGACATGTGGAAGTGGAAGCTTCAATAACTTTGACAGCATTTGTGATGGAAGTGTCACGCTCCTTGACAAAGGTGGCCAACAGAGCCTTGATTGCAGCTTCAGAGTATGTCGTGCTTGGAGTTGAAGAGGAAGAAAAAATCAATTTATCAAGCTTATCATTGAGATCCTTTAAATGCCTCTTCGTGACAGGAGCGTCATCATCATCATCGCTCTATACACGATATGGACTAAAATAGACTGAATCAAACTCCATATCTGCTCCACCAAGAACAGTGTCAGATTCGGGTGAGGGAGGTGGAGATAAAGGTTTCGAGGTAATTGGGGGTTCGGGTTCAGAAGTAGGTGCCCCCGTATCAGATATGTTGACACGAACTTGAGGTTCGGTTGGAGTAGTAGTAGTTGTGGTAACTTCGGTGAATAAAGG